TGGGTCGTAGTGGGTCAGTCTGTGTCTTAGCGGGTCAGTCTGGGTTGTATCGGGTCAGTCTGGGTTGTATCGGGTCAGTCTGGGTTGTAGCGGGTCAGTCTGGGTTGTAGCGGGTCAGTCTGGGTTGTATCGGGTCAGTCTGGGTTGTAGTGGGTCAGTCTGGGTCGTAGCGGGTCAGTCTGGGTTGTATTGGGTCAGTCTGGGTCGTAGCGGGTCAGTCTGGGTTGTATCGGGTCAGTCTGGGTCTTAGCGGGTCAGTCTGGGTCTTAGCGGGTCAGTCTGGGTCGTAGCGGGTCAGTCTGGGCTGTATCGGGTCAGTCTGGGTCATACCGGGTCAGTCTGGGTCGTATCGGGTCAGTCTGGGTCGTATCGGGTCAGTCTGGGTCGTAGCGGGTCAGTCTGGGCTGTATCGGGTCAGTCTGGGTCATACCGGGTCAGTCTGGGCTGTATCGGGTCAGTCTGGGTTGTATCGGGTCAGTCTGTGTCTTAGCGGGTCAGTCTGGGTTGTATCGGGTCAGTCTGGGTCATACCGGGTCAGTCTGGGCTGTATTGGGTCAGTCTGGGTTGTATCGGGTCAGTCTGGGTCGTATCGGGTCAGTCTGGGTCATACCGGGTCAGTGTGGGTCGTAGCGGGTCAGTCTGGGTCGTAGCGGGTCAGTCTGGATTGTAGCGGGTCAGTCTGGGTCGTAGCGGGTCAGTCTGGATTGTAGCGGGTCAGTCTGGGTTGTATCGGGTCAGTCTGGGCTGTAGCGGGTCAGTCTGGGTTGTATCGGGTCAGTCTGGGTCGTAGCGGGTCAGTCTGGGTTGTATCGGGTCAGTCTGCGCTGTATCGGGTCAGTCTGGGTCGTAGCGGGTCATTCTGGGCTGTATCGGGTCAGTCTGGGTCATACCGGGTCAGTCTGGGCTGTATCGGGTCAGTCTGGGTTGTATCGGGTCAGTCTGGGTCGTAGCGGGTCAGTCTGGGTTGTATCGGGTCAGTCTGTGTCTTAGCGGGTCAGTCTGGGTTGTATCGGGTCAGTCTGGGTCATACCGGGTTAGTCTGGGCTGTATTGGGTCAGTCTGGGTCGTAGCGGGTCAGTCTGGGTCGTAGCGGGTCAGTCTGGGTTGTAGCGGGTCAGTCTGGGTCGTATCGGGTCAGTCTGGGTCGTAGCAGGTCAGTCTGGGTCGTAGCGGGTCAGTCTGGGTTGTAGCGGGTCAGTCTGGGTCGTAGCGGGTCAGTCTGGGTCGTATCGGGTCAGTCTGGGTCGTAGCGGGTCAGTCTGGGTTGTATCGGGTCAGTCTGGGTCGTAGCGGGTCAGTCTGGGTCGTA